TGATTCCGTTGAAGTTGTGCATAAATGTGACCTAAAATAGGAAAATTAATCTTAAATCTCAGTTTGCATGGCCTCTGGTTAAATAACTAAGAATAGCATTTGAATCTTTGTAGGCTGTTAGGACTTAGTCAGTACAAAGATTAATTGATATTTGTTGTCAAATTTGAGAGTTGTTTTTGTGAATATCCACGTGAGCACATTGGCTTATCTTTACAGCGAAAGCTAACTTAAATTTGCAGGTTGAAGCAGTGTTTGTTTGGAATGCAAGTGTTGAATTTAATTCTCTTTTTTTATTTATTTCTAGATTCTCTGTAAAAAGCTGATAGTTGGCACCTAATGCTTATTATAAACCTTTCTTTGATTATTTTTTTTTTTACTTCAACAGTGTTTTCCATGGTTTATGTATTTAAATAAAATCTGTCTAAAGTCAGTGGTGTTCACGAGGGTTAAGCATCTACATAATTGGTTTCTCTTTAAAAACAAGCGGAATAATTATTTTTGTAATGAATTTCCTTATTTTCAAGTTTGTTTTGTTTCTTCCTTGTTTACTGTTTTGGAACTGATACTGGAGGAAGTTTCTCTCGGCCTTATCTCTGATCTCATCTACAGTTTTACAAAGCAGTTTTTTCCAGAATTTCAGGGGCATAAAACTGAAGAGTGTAATCTGTTTCTAACTTGTCTTTCTAGGCAGCATGAATCAAAATCAACGACTTGATGCTATGTCTAAATTGAAGCAATTCCACTGTAGAGTTCTGATTTCCACAGACTTGGTGAGTTAGTGTTTTATAGCATGAGTATTGTGCATAAAGTTACTTCAGAGAATTAGGTTTGACTTGGAATTGAATAGAACATAAATGTACTGGTAAAGCATGGGACTTTAGCACTGTGTGTGACTTATTTTCACTATGAAACTTAGAAATTGTCCCCTATGCCTCATCAGGTTCAAAAATAGTTTTTAATTAACTGTTGCTTTGCAGAAGCTTTTAGAAATTTCAGAGCAGCAGAACTGTTTATTTTGGATAGGACCTATGGGAAGAAATAGTTTTTCTCTAGTACAGTATGCTCACAATGGTAACATCACAAACAACTTCAAGTAGAGCAGTGGTTATGTTTGAGGCACTCAAATTGTTGTGGTTGATGTATTTCTCTCTTTGGTTGATCGTTTGAAGTCCTGTCATGAAAAGATTACAGCATGCTGTCAGGTTGAATTTTTTGATGGGGGAAAAAACCATGCTTGCTTGTATCTGATACATAGAAGGCATAAGCAAAATGGTCCCCAGTTTTCTTGGTCCCAATGCGATAGGCCTATTTTACATGTAATACTGTGAACTGACTTGAAAATTGTAACAACTTTCAGTTGATACAATACACTATAAAGCACCTACATTATGAGCAGTTACCCTCAAATGTATTGTATTTATTTAAAGATCAACTCAGCATATTCAATTATCTATTTCCTTCTCTCCTTGTTTTCCTAAGACATCTCGTGGAATTGATGCTGAAAAAGTGAATCTGGTTATCAACCTGGATGTACCCGGAGACTGGGAAACGTACATGCATCGTATTGGCAGAGCTGGGCGCTTTGGTAAAAACTGTCATGTGGGTTTCTTGGGCTTGCACTAACTTCACTGGCTCTGGTTTGGTAATTACACTTCCTGTTGTGTATCACAGGAACTTTAGGCTTATCTGTGACATACTGCTGCCGCGGAGAGGAAGAAAACACAATGATGAAAATTGCTCAGAAATGTAATCTTCAGCTTCTTCCTCTACCAGGTACACTGTCCTATGAATGCAACTTTTTTTGTTGGTTGTTTACTGATTATTCAAAGCTTCAGACAAGTCCACAGGGAACTGACGTGTATCTTCTCTGCTGAAGTTGTACTACTTTTGATACAGGTTTTTCATACTCTGTGCTAATCACTACTTGTGTAACTGCTGCAGTTGTGCGAAGCAATAGAAAATAAACTTCATGCATGCCTATGGATAGGGAGAGGAATTCTGCATCCAGCTGTTGCGTAAGCAACTATATAACTACTTGGATTTCCAGAAATCTATTATTAAGCTTTTCTCAGGCTGTAAGATACAGTAGGAGAAGGAAGGAATAATTGAAACAACAGAAGATTTGCTACCGTTGCCTTGCCAGAAGCCGTTCTGCTAGAAACGTAGCATTCGCTGCCTTGCATAAGTTCTAACTTTTTATCTGGTTAAGTAGGATATGAAAATAAGATGAGAAGTAGTGCAGTGCCGTTTGTCTTGATCAACTTTTTGAGGCCTTCCATGAAGAAAATGTTCTGGCTATGTCAGCTCTTGCAAGAATTGAAGGGGTCGGTTTGTAGCCCTAACTTAATGTGTCTTAACATCTTTTCTGCGATTTTGCAAAGCTTTACGTCGGTACTCATTTGAGTTCTAGAGGGAGGGATGCACTTAATTGAGTGCCTGCTTGTTTCCCTTTTGTGCAGAGCCTATACCCCCTGGAATGATGGATCAATTTGAAGATGGGGAGGTAGAAGTCAAACCTGTTACACATACGGGTGCTTCAGTGAATTCTGACACTGTGTGTCTTGGACCAGAGGAACCAGTATTGCAGCCTGTCCAAAATAGTTTTTCAGAGGTACCACAGCCTCTTTCTAATCTTCCGGGTGATAAGTCTGCTGTAGAAAGGCCAAAAAAGACTCTGAAGCAAAAGCAGATAAAGTGCACAAATTCTGCAAATACAGAAAAAGGTAGCAGAAACCCCCAAACTTCTAGTTGCCACACAGAACAGAGGAATCAAGTCAAAACTGTCTCCAGAATGGATGGACAACATAATGCTCAGCCTCCAGATGAGGAGGCCTTAAAAAAAAATCTTCCCAGAATTCCATGCTTGTCTTCTTTCAAAAACCAACAGAACAATCCCTGGAACTTCTCACAGTTTGTTGATGACTATGAGTATTTCATTAAAGAAGGGTTGGAGAGAGAGGTTGAAATTTTAAGAAGCTATTCAGGCCCAGGAGAACAGTGTGAGCTCCCCAGAAATGGTGGTGTAGAGTGGAAAGAGGTAGAACATACTACAGAGACAGTAGCAAATGGTGTTGTGTCTGGTGACAGTGATGGTTCGTACAGTTCCAGGGCTTCCTCTGATAGTAGGGAAAAGAACTCGTGCTTTGAAGCACTTTCAGATACACAGAAGAATGCTGTTCCCACAACGCGCCAGGGTTGTGCAGGCTTCTATTCTACACCAGAGAAGCCTCAGGAGCTATCACAAGTCCCAAAGAAAAATCAGGTGAAAAAGGAAGTTCTGAAACAAAATGCTAAACAAAAGAAAAGCCATTACTATCAATTCCCTAGTCCTTCCATGAGAAAAACTGAAGACGGCTGCTCCTGCAGCTCTTGGGATGATGGTGTTCCATATGAGGCTTGGAGTTACAAAAACTACTGGAAATCTTACTATCAAGCATGGCAAAACTACTATGCTGCAGTGTCTCACTACAGGAAAAGTTACAGACAGTTTAACTGGATGAATGCCTATCATGTCAACTCGGTCTACCTTCAGGAGCTGCTGAAAAGTGGTGATTGATGTAATCGCACTGCTGTCCGGGATGGGCTGGTTGGTACAGTGAATGGACATCGTCTGTGGAAAAACTGCTAGTCTACAAGTACACTGATAAATATATACAGACTTTACTAAAGACTGAAGAAAAATGTCTTTTTTCATGTGAGCTGTATCTAGGTAAAATTTTTTTTACATGCATTCTGGTGATGGTGTTACAACAAGTTGCTAATAAAAGGAAATAAAAGAACGCTGGATGTTCAGTTGCAAGCTTTACGATCCAAAGTAAACAAAGGAAGCTAAAAGGCAGCCACTTACATGTAAGAAATCTCAGTAAGGAGAAAATATAAACCAACCCCGGGTTTATTTGCTTGACTTAAGTCTTCCATGTGACTTCAGGCTGAGGATGGGTTCACTGTAAGGCTACATAGTCTATAGTTTGAGATATTCCATTTTCTGCAATTCTATTAAACACTGGGCACTGATTATATACCAGTTAAGTGGCAGAGTGAAACCTGCATCTCCATGCCTGTATTGCTAATTTAAATCCAGTTAATTAACATTGTATAAATAACACTTCTATAGCTAGGTATATGGCAAAGCTGTGCAGTAGAGGATGGTCTAATTACATTGAAAATGTGCAGCAGTCATAATTGGTCTGTCCCTCTGGGTGCAGCACTATCAGACTTGCCACACTTACAGGAAAGCTTTAATTAGAAATGAAATTACCTATTAGTACTAAAAGTAATTGGTGGTTCCTGTTTGGGTTGTACTGCTTTGTATGCAGCTGTCCTGAAGCAGGGAAGGAGGAGAGGCTTGGCTGCCTTGGGGTGCTGCCCCTAGGTTGACTCCACACCGATTTTGAAACTTCATCCTCTAGCTTTAATATGTGTAGGATTGTAGAGGCAGATTTCTTCATCTGGTTTCTTTGATTTCTCAAAGTTCATCAGAGCAGATGTAGTCTTGCTTTCCTTCCCTGCCCTGCTTTTCTCGAGCAGTGCAGGGCTGGGATTTCCTTAGTAAAAGCACTGCTTCCTACCTACCGCGAACTGTGCTTCCAAGGAGAGCTACTGCTTTAATTTGGTGAAATGGATGTCTTCAGGGATGTTTGATTGCCCACCTTCAGCAAGTTTCAAATTCAATACAGTATGTTTTCACTCTGCAGACTTAAATCACTCGCTGCCTGAGCATTCTTACTGTTCTTGCAAAATTCCCTGTGCAAATCCTGTGGTGTCCCTGGCAGCACTTCCCACCTTTGTGTGGAGTGGGGGGTCTAAACTTTATACCGCACAATTCAGACTCTCTTTGCTGTGCAGGAGAATTGTAAGATTGATTTAGCTCATGAGCGGCACAGACATTTCGGTGAGGTTGGGAAGCCCGGAGGCTGTCCTGCGCTGGGGCGGTGGTGGCCTCTAGTGGGTGTCAGCCTTTACTGCAAGAGAGAGAAGTGGTCTGCCAGCTCTTCTGTTCCACTGCAATTCGGTGGGTGTCAGAGGTCACAGAATAAGTAATTTTAGTTTCTGCTTAAAGAATTTTGAAAATTTTAAATAATGCCTCTACATGACACTTTCTGATACGGTTAAGATGAGATCAGCTCTAGTTGTTTGGTGGTGGAAACAAGCTGACCCTATCTGCAATTTGGTAGCAGAAACAAGCTGACCATACCTGCGATATGGAATACGAGACTTCGGCCTAAACGGAATTGTGAAGATGAGACTGCCTTTTAAAAGAAAGGCATGAGATGTGCTCTTTAAATATAGTAAATATCTTGTTAGGAGAAGTATTTTTCTTCCTGTACTTTTTTTTCCTGCCTTACTCCCTTTGTGTCACAATAAATTACCCCAGGGAGGGGGCTCTCCTCGATTTTGTCTGCGTAGTTGGAAGAAGCCAAAATGATAAGATTTTGTTTCCAAGATGAATTTTTTTGCAACTCTTAATGTTCAAAAGGAGGATACTGTAAGAGATGCGCTTAGGTATCTGTGTTATTGCTTTCCTTTAACATTGTAGTTATCTTGCTGTTTTCATTAATGGTTGCTTAAGTAAGAGTTACTAGTACTTAAATGCAACTGAAGTGGCTTAAGCCAACACCCAAAAGAACCTCCCAGAATTTTGTTAGAAGAAATCTACAGCATCATCTTGATATTTGTGGCACATACTCTGTTTAATCCAGATTGGATACATCAGGTACAGCAGTGGCACAAGACTCAATACTGTAAATGATATACAAGTTTCAACATATGCACTACAATTCCAAAAGAAGACAACAGGAAACTTGGTTCTTCTAGAAAGTTGTTCTCAAATGAAGCTACCTGCAGTTGTATACAGTACATTTTGTATCTGTCCTCTGATGTTTGTAAGCAAAGCCCATTTATAGTACGAAAATAGAAAATAATAAGGTTGAGAGCTTCTTATAACATAAAACTTCTAAAGAAAACACCATTGCATTGGAATGCCTTACTGATTTATCAAAAATATACCATCACACGCATTTTGTAAGATACTTCATTGGTCCGAGGAGCCAGTGAGAGCTCCCAGTCATAGTTGCAACAGAAGGGAGAAGAGCATTCGCTATGGTGGTTAACTTCTCCCCCAGACAGCTGTGTGACTTCTGTGACTAGCACTAGTTTAAATCAAAGTGAAAAGAAACACGTGCACACGTATACACACAAAGTAACAGATTATTGACTGAGAACAAAACTCAAGAAGGAATTTTCACGAGCTCTTTGTCACCTGGTCTTTTGACTGTTCCACCTGAAGTTTTTCTGGCACAGTTGTTGCGCTCTGAACATTAAGTAGCAGTACTCTCGTACGCTCTCTCAAGAGTTCTCTGTGGTAGTTTGTAAGTGTTCATGAATTGAGCTTCACTTATTGAAAGAGGAGGTATTAAATTCTATATAGCTTGTATAATTGGCAAAGAGAGGTGAAATGACTTCTTCGAGGTCACTTAGTGATTCATCAAGACAATCAGGAGTAGAACACAGGTTCCTGATGCTAAGTCTCTTAGCTCTAATCGGTGTGCACGCTACCTTCTGGTTGCTCTTAAAGTTTTAGAAACATAAAACTGTTATGAAGAGTGTTTATGGCATAGTTAAATGTGAAGCCTAAAAACTTGAGCTTTAAAGTCATATCTCTAGTGCAGTTGCTTAAAGTGTTGGAGAAAAATAAGTGATTTTTTTTTAAAATCAAGATATATTTGATTGGTAAATTATGAGGAAAAAGTATATTTTTCACCTAACTTTAAAATCAGAGTAAAGTCATCAGTTCAACGCTGCTGATGTTCACAAGCCATTCATGAATGCTGACTTTTTAAACTCTGCTATAGTTGACATAGAGAAGATATTACAGGATCCAAGGGATGTTGCAACCCATAAATTAAATGTGATTTTTAATTTACTGAATTTGCTTTATAACACACGTAAGATACAACATGTTTACAACCTCTTTACTTAAAGCAGCAAAATATTTGAAGAAACATTACTTTCTTTAGCTGATATTAATCTGATTTTTGTGTGCACACCTTAAGCTGTCCAAACTAGAATGATAAATGCTGGTTTGCAGTACGAGTATATTATCAACTTGCAGGTTAAACGAGTAGCATTGACTCAAATTTAGTATTTCTAGCCAACTGTAATGAAGGATGTATTTTGAATTACCGATTAACTTTATTCCACACTAAAGCCATGTGTATTACTTAATTTACTTTTTCCTCAGTTCAGTTTTAACAATGATAATTATTGGACAGACATACATAGTCTCTGGGATAAGAATTTGCTTTAGAAAGTTTTATATTCCTCTTATGCTTGTAGGTAGCTAACTTATAATGTGGAAAGGAGAATAATTTAACATGGTGCAAAGGAGTATAATGGCAGCAAGAGAGAAAAAAATAAGGAAAGAATTACGGCTGAACAGCAAGGGAAAAATCCTTGACATTGAGATCTATTAGTCTGAAATAAGCTCTCCAGGGAAGCGGCGGGAGTCCTTTCCTTGGAGAATTTTAAATCTAATCTAGAGAAAGCAATGCAATATATTGCAGTGAAGGATCCTGTGCTAGTGGAGGATGGATTATGTTTTTTAATTCCTTAATTTTTATGTACCAAGATGCGTTATCTGTGGCCTCTTCTTTATGGGTGCACTTAAGATTTTTAAGGAAAAGGAAAGTAAAAGGTGGATTTTAGAAAGAGTAGATCGAAGTCAAAGCCTAGATGTGAAAGGTATTTCTCATCATTCTTTGCCAATTGGGTGTGATTGCGTCTATTAGCAGCCCAATGCCAGGTGAGAAGAGAATCTATTAATAGAATATGCTGAAAATCTGTGAAAATATTTTTCCCTCAGAAAAGGCTTTGGAAAGGAAACAAAATGCTCAGAGAAAGGTGTTGCTCCTTTGATATTTTTAATATTGCTTTATGAAAGACTGAAAAAACAATCCCCTTCCACTTGCTTTTTGTACAAACAATCTGTTTTCATCTTTTTTTTAATGAACTTTTCTAAAACTATAAAAAGTCATAAGGGATTGGGGGAGAGGGGAAGGCCTTTGAGATGAACTGCCAACATACTGTTGATGCTTTGTTGAGCTGTTTTGCTAATCAGGCTGTTCTGTACCACCTGCCTCTCAGAAAGCTGTCAGGACTTAGAACCTACCTACGTTTTTGGATGCTTCTCCTCCCGGAGGTAGCCCACACCTGAGGAACCCACCTTCCGTATGCGCCAGGAATGAGCGGGACTGCAGGGGTATGTGCTGGTTTTTGTATCCCCGTCAGTGATGTGTGTGACCCTGGGGAGAGGGAGAGGGATGCTGGTAAGACAAGGCGGTGCTGGGGACCGCTGGAGAGAATGGTCCAAATCCTTCAGTTAAAGGTCTGGCCCAGTAATTTTCAGGAGTGACTTGGCCTTATCTCGGCAATGGTTTATAAGTTGCTATTTAAAGATGATAAAGAGCCTTACAGTTTAGTAAAGCTAATTGCCTCCCTCTGTTGAAGGAATGAGTGGCTGTAGTGCAGTTCCCATGCTCGTCTGTGCAAATGCTTTCCCTTCATCCCTGTGTTTCATTTGATGTGATGTTGTGCCCTACCAACTGCCGGTACGATGGTGATGGATTCTTGTCTTTGCTGTTTCAATGAACGCACAGCGCGCTCCTAATGAGGATGTAGCTGTGTTGGGCAATCCAGGGAGGTTTTGTACAAGCACGTTTTCAAGTGCTTTCGGAAGCATTACTCAGTCTACTTAAAATCAGTGTAGAAAGGGAGCTAATGCCTCCATTAAATATATTTTTAGCCCAGTTCCTCTAGGCTCAGACTTCCTTCATTTTGTCTGTCTTTATCCTCTTGAAAGTCTGAGCTGATGTACTGGCTGCGTGGGGCAGCACCTGCTAAGTTAATGGTAGAAGAGGCAAGCCTCGGATTTTTGAGCAAGGATAACAATGATTCCTCTTCTGTGGGAGAGAACAAAGGCCATAGCTCTCTTGACAATCTGAGCCCAAGCAGCCAGCCAGAAACCCCAAGGATTGGCTTTCCTCCTTACTTTTTTTTTTTTCCTCTTAAAAACGTTATTTTTTTTTTCAAAAGGATTTTGATTGATAGCAATTAAATGCACCAATAGTGCTTTAGACAAGGGCTGCCTTGGTTGCTATTTACAGAGAAAGAAATGGGTGCAGAGAGATGAAGTGGCTTGTTTACCACTCCACAGTAAATCAGAAATAAGAAAGGCAGTACCGAGAATCCATGCGGAGTCCCTGACTCTTTGTAATGGTTTACTCCTGCGCAGTGGAAGGAACGCTGTACCCTGTCAGCACGGTGGCATTTAACCCTCATTCTTGCCAGGGTAAATGAGGTTGCAAGGTGGTAAGTGGTGGAGAGGAAGGCCTCTGGTCTACAAGGTTGAGGGCGTTCAGATGGGGAGCAGATGATGACAAATAATGAAATTAAAGCAAAGGAAAGATTAAATTAATACATCAAGAAAAACTCAATAATGATAAGATTAACTGCAGTATAACCTCCTACAGGAAGCAGCAAAGGCAAAGCGTTTTAATCATTTAAAACAGGACTAAACATAGTTTTGGGTAACATATTATAGCACTGGAATAAATGACTATAAGCTGGTGCAGCTACTGAAGGCTTAGCCATAGCCCTACGGTTCCTAGAATGTTGTAGGTTTCTAAGGAGGGTATTGAGTTAATGCATCAGCCGTCTGGGTCTGCTCTATAGACTAATAGGTTAGGAGCGCTAACAAAGCGGATTGCTAGCTCGTATGTTTAAGTCAGCATGTAGGTCTGTTTATCTATCTATACATGTATATGTCTGTATTTATTTATATGTGTATGCGTGTATATGTGTATATAAATCTTACATCAGAATAGGTTATGATAGATGTTAAAAAGAAAAGTCATCCCTTTGCGGAATCAGCCTCAAACATGCTCTTTTAACTCTAATGTTGGTAAAATCACTGTTCCGAAACAGGACACTTGAAATGTTTCCTTATTTTCTACAAGCTGTTGGGGGCTAGGTGCATCGCCAGTCATGGGTGTGCATTGGGCCTGGAAGGGGCGTTTGTGCATGACCACAATAATTAGCCAAACAGTGTATGACAAGAGAAAAGGTGGGCGATGTTGTTCCTCACTCTGCCCTTCACAGATCCCCCCTGTTATGAAAGGGGACTTGAGAAAGGCAGAATGGAAGGAAAAAGTTACTCTTCTTAGGAGGTGAAATCAGTTATGTTTCAGGACCATGTGTTTCCTTACAATAAGTCATTCCTAGAAAGACCTCAGAAAGAGGTGCTAGGACTGACCACAGCTTGGTTCGAAGGATTAGCTTCCTGGCAGTACCACACAGTGTTACTTCAGTTTTTGGTTGACTAGAATTGTGTGACTTTTCCCAAACTAAGTGTAGAACTGCAAAAAGAAAATGCTGTCTCTACCACACTTTATCAACTGTTTTCCAAACCCCAGTACTGCTCCCCCTTCTCAAGCGGATGCATGCTGTAGATCCTGTGCTGGGACTGGAGAACTAAAATTGCTAACCTAGTCTACCCCCAAAATCAGTGCAACCCAGAAGCCATTGAGGAGACAACTGGAGCCCGAAGACTGGGAAAAAGCCAAACACCTCTCTGTCCATGCAAGGGATTTGGCTCTGGGGTTAGTTGTTATCAAGTATAGATCCAGACATTATTTGGCTACTATTTACAATGGGTTGTATGTCCAGTGCTAGCAAAGAAATTTATATATAGAAAACAGAAATAAAAAAGCATGGGCATACATTACAAGAAACCTCTGTTAGACTTATGAACGCTTGATGCAGTTGAGTTCAGTGCTTTCTCATTCTTTGCCATTTGTGTGTACAGTATTAAAAAACAATCCTACCTTTTTTTTTTTCTTTTTAAAAATACAGAACTGGTAGTCTAGTCACACTCGTACAAGTAAGTGATAACAAAAATAGAAAGCAGATACCCATGTGGGACTAAAACTCTACTAAAGCCTGTCTTTTTTTTTTTTTTCCACAAATATGTTTTCACAGACAATAATTAGCAGACAAACACACTGTTTGCAATTGCACTGTATTGACTTAAAAGGCGGATACAAAATTGTCTAAATAAAGAATGCCATCCAGGGTGAAACAGTTGTGTGTGTGTGTGCGTGTGCACATAGCTGTGCTGACACAAGCTTGTATTTTCCTACTGTGCACCCAATCATGGACACATGCTCTGCTCTTTGTAATTCAGTGTTGCTCTGATGGGGTTCTGCTGCACACTCGCACGCACACACACAGAGGAATGGAAAGAGATTTCTGTGACAGGTGGCTTCTTTGTCTAAATCTTTTCCTATAAAAGAAAACAAAATGTGAAATTTTGGTTGGTTTAAAGGTTCTGCTCCATGAAGAAAAAAATTCACAAAATCCATTGTTTTTCACCTTTTCAGTCATTTCCTCATGAATAAATATTATCCATTAAAAACCTTTAAAAAGGTGCTGCGATACACAGTGTTATATTTCCATTTTCTTTATTGACTCTCTTGTTGCCATGATGATTCTTTCCCTCCAGCCTCCGCAGGTGATTTTTGCCCTGTACCATGGCACAACACGCTCTCCGTGCAGGTTTTTCCTTTAACCAGCCTCTTCCTCCATCTCCTCATTCTTCCTCCGTCCACAGCATGAACACGAGTCTGAAGAAAGCTGCCTTGTTAGGTCTCCATTGCTAATTCGATGACAAAACGTCAGGTTGGTCCATCCAGGCACAATTTGCAGCAAGAAAGGAACATGGAGGTGTGGAGGGAGAGGGGCACTGGTCTTCCAGCCTCCTTCTGTGCATGAGACATCTTACAAGGCAGAGACCTTGACTATGTTGCTTGTGGTGGTGGTGGAAATGTTCGTGGAGTGGCTGGGGCTGCTGGGCGGAGGCCTGCTCTCCCCTTCTGGCGTGAGTGCCGGCGGCGTGGGGATGCTGATGATGGCTGTCGTTATCTGGGCAGTTTTGCAGTTCGGTCTCAGCCCATCATCTGATTTCATGTTGAGACTGGAACGACTAGAAAACAAATTTAGTGTTTGGCTTTTTTTTTTTTTTTCTTTTAAACTAGAGAGCAGAAAGAATGGCAATGGTAGTTGTTCTTAATCTGTGTCTTATTTCTTTGAACTAAGGGGACCAAAGTATTCAGAAGACTGACTCCATTTAAATGTTCCCCCTGTTCCTGCAAGGCATCAGTTATTCCTACCCAGATTACACTAAGCTTTTTTATTATCCCCCCTCCCCCCCGGTTAGGATGCAGCTTTTCACAGGGCAAATTGTTCTATGTTTCCTTTTCATTCTTGCATAATTCTAGTTTAATTAAGAGGATCTCTAAATATACTGTCCTGCGTACTGTATCTTTTCAGAGCACAGGTCTTTTCTAAGAAAGAGATGTTGTCTTCCTTGCATTTCAAATTCACCATCCCTTGATCTTTTCTATTTTTTCATCTTTCTGCAGTAGTTTCAAGGATCTGGCCAGCTGGGAGCATTCTTATTAGATCTGCATCAATTGCATCCTATAATTAATTACAGAGGGAAAATGATAGGTTGATTTCTGTGCATCTGCACAGCTACGGGAGTCTGCTATTACCAGCCCAACAAGTTCGCTGTAAACACAAGGCCCGTCCTTTTAAAATGTAAAGCTCCCAGTTGGAAAGCTATTGCTGCTGTTGTCTCAGAGTGACTCACCAAGAGGATGTTTCTTGAAGGCTCAAGCATCCCCAGAACAGGGCGGAACCCACTCTGCTCCCCCCCGGCTGCCTCAGTCACAAGCTGAGAGTGGGGCAGTCTTAGGGACTGGGTGGTTCTGCCAGTGGTAACCAGTACACCCAGTTAGTTGCATTCCACAGGAAAAACCACTTAAAAGCTGTTTTTTCTCTCTCAATTCGCACACAGTTTGATAAGCAAGTGAAATAACAGACAGAGTTGACATTTAAAATATCACCGGTGTCTGATTTAGCACTGAAATAGGCAGAATAGTTGACATTCCCCTGAATTACTGGTTTAGGTGCTGGTTTAAACTATTGTCATCTTGAAACTGCAAGAGCCAGAGACTTGTTTTGTGCTTATTCATTCATAATTCATTCTCTGAAATGCCCTTCTGACTTCACCCTGGCACAAAGTAATGCCTTGCTGCCCTAAAGGCAGCGTTGTTTCAGTTTCTGGATCCCTTTGATAGGAGTGGGGAGAAGAAGAATGGTAAATTCAAAAATAGCCTGGTGTACAAGAAGCTTAATGGGCTGAGGGGGATTTTGAAAGTAATTTAGTATTTGCAAGAAAGATATGGTGAAGAAATGTTTTTTTCCAGCAAAATATGTATAAAATGAAAATTTGAAAATTTTCTACTGAAACACTTCTTCACCTGTGTCACTAATGGCTTTTTAGGTGAGAGCTACTAAAATACCATTGTGAAATTGCTCCTTATTTGTTTCTCGGTGATGCTTGATGCTTACAATTGTGATTTAGGCTTTTGGACAATGAAAATCAGTGAAGTGAGTGTCCCTGGTGGACCATCGCAGTGTGTACAGCCCTCTAACAGCTTCTGCTGACAGACACTGATTACCCGGTTGTCTTTGCCTGCTCCCAGTAAAGGTGTGGAAGTACTGGGCTATCTGGGAGGTGGCTGTGAAGTGGTCCTGTGCCGGCTTTGGTGAGAGGCGCACAGCTGGGAACTGCTGGCTCCTGCCTGTGTGATTAGCACTTCATAGGCAGGTTTCAGCTGGAATTCATTCTTCTATGTCCAGTTTGGCCAGAGAAGAGCTGCACTAGAGTCTAGCTTTGAGCTGGTTCTCCCCAGAACAGCTAGGAGCTGCTTGCTTTGGGTTGTCATTAGAAGGAGGGAACCAGAGATGCCCCCAGCACTAGACCCTTCTCCCTGGCTGCAGAATCGGCCTGCGAGAACGGTCAGTTGGGTAACGCACTTCATTCAGAGACTCGCATGCAGTATTTAGCAGCAAGAACCTACTTACTGTACCTTGTTGTAAGTGAGGGCTGCTCACTGCACTGGATGTGGATGGTGCTGAGCTCCTGCATACTCCGGAGGCGAGTGGCTGGCACGCTGGAGTTGGGAAGGTGGGTGGTCTTCTTGTTACGGCGAGAACAGCAGGAGGTGGTCAGTCCATGGTGACTCGACAAGGAGGGGCTCCGAGAAGAAGGATAGTTTTGCATTGAGCTCTCCATGCAGTTCTGCTCGAACAGTTGCTCATCTATGAACTCGTGGTTCTGGCGGGGAAAAGAACAGTGCCATTACTCTCTGGTTACACCAACAGCTTTGGCCCAACAGCAGTTTGTTTTCAACGGCACCTTTGGCCAGGTTGGTGGGATGTGTCAGCCCCTCGTCTGTGTAAGATGCTCTCTGCCTCTGTGCCTGATAATATTCGCACTAGGCAGGTCTTTAAAAGAAATGGTTCTGCCCTTCCACTCACTGCAACCAAGAGAAGATTTTGCTCTCTTGCATCAGTAGGGGAATAAGGGAAGCTGTTGCAGTGACAAAAGCGCGATAGCCTCTCAATGCTGTCTTGATTGTGTAGTCTGAGACGGTTAATACATTGTGTTCGGATTTCTTTTCATTTTTGTGTCTGGTTTCCAGAAGTGGCTTCAAAAATCTGCAATGCCACATGGTTATGAAACCCAAGAGGGGATTTAAGCTCCTTTTTCTTTGTCCCTGGGGACAGGATTGGATTGGATTGTATTTGCATGACCATCTTGACATGCAGCTTAATTGCAGGGTGTTGCTTGTATTGGCTGTTGGGTGCAAAGCGTACCTGCAGCTCGTTGGGTGCTGTTAGCTGAGTGGAAATAAACGTGGCAGGTGAGTGGGAAGCGTATAGGGGAAGGAAATTCAGAAAGCTGAATCTGTAAAGAGTTTTTGTGCTAAGGAACAAGAAATCCTGAAAGAAAGAACTCTTATGTGCGTGTATGAACACCCAAGTAGTTCTAGTGAACATACTTCATCCAGCCCCTGTCAGCATCAGAAAGCATGGGAAACAAAAGCAACCATGGTGAAGCAGCCATGGGTTTTCATTGGAACAACTAACAACTCTCACAGGGAACAAGAGCACTGGATAGCCAAAAAGAGCCACGTGCACAAACTCCCAAGGACAAGACCAGGAACGAGAAAGGAAGCAAACACTCTCTAGACACATCACAGAGACCATAGAGAAAACATTGAATTAAAAAGGAAATACCTTGATGGTGGAAGTTCGTACAGATAACAGGGGATCATCCACAAGATAGGACAATCCCTATGGGACAACATGCCAACAAAAGATAAAAACACAATTGATTGTCCATTCCGGCACCCAGACGTTTAGTCCCAGCATTGCATCTATTGCCTCAGCATTCCAGCCGCCTCGCTCAAGTTTGAATGGGCAACCGGACCTTCTCTTCACCAAACCTTGCCTGAATCAGACCCCTTTGTTCCTTCCTTCTCACACTTAAGCTTTTTAATATTATCTTCCTGGAAATAGAACAAAACTGGTAACAGATTTATTGCTTGGATCTTTTGAGAGGTGAAGGCAAAGGAAAACAAAGTTCCAGCTGCTGATTCACAAGTAACGAATTGGAATTGTATTGCCATTGGGTCACCAATGGATATGGGTTTTGATCGTACTCTGTGGAAACACAGAAGAAAGGTTTGGGTTGAAGGATTGCGTTCGATGCACTCAGCATTTGGAGAAAACATTGCATGTGAATGTCCATACTCAATCTGGGAGTTGGAACAAGTAGAAAAACTCTCCTTTTGTTTGAACAAACTCCATCTGTTGTGTTGATATGACAAAGTAACCTCTGTTATGGTGGTTACAAGTACTTTATGGTCACTTTGTCATCTGACACACCAGATTTGTGAGCCATTCAGAGCCATTCAATTGTAAAGCTGTGTGCTAGTGATGACCACAGATACCATGACAATAAATCATGTGCTTTTAGAATCCTTCTGCCTAGTTTAAGGAAAGGTGAATTGCCCATTGAAACAAGTTTGCAACCATGGTACATTCCTCATTCTATTCCTGCAACTTGGTCACAAAATGACTCTTCAGTATTTAAAAATTCTTTTACTACAGTTTAAATTTTGGGCAGGAGAACTGTTGCATAGTATTTTAATAGATGATGTGAAATAAAGAGTTTCCACACAAGCTGATTGAACTGTTTTGATTGACAATTTCAGATCAGAATCCAAACTTGCTATGTGATTTGATGCAACATCATGGTAATAACTAGCTGAAAAATGTCGGGGAAAACACGTTAAATATTGTGCAGATTCTCCCTCTAGGTTTTAATAAAAATTCAAAGGATTACTGTTACTGCCATTCTTTGCAGAAAAAAAAGCAATGTTTGGAACATTTTCAACCACCGAGACTCACTATCTGAGTAGGCTTGTGTGCTGGAGGCAATCCTGCTGTGTTAGCGCGGCAGGGTAATGCAGCCCCAAATTAGGATCCGCTTTGGCCATGTCACTTCCAGCACCCTATCCGGCTCGTTAGTGATGGAGCCACTCATGCAGCGCCCAGGGCTGTCCATCTGCCCTGTGCGGAGGTCAGAATTTCTATAAGCCTTTACGAAGTCGGGGCCTTACAAGGGCAGACCCTGGAGGTGGGGTTGTCGGCTTTTCTTTGCTTCAGCCAATTTGTTAGAGTGTCTGAATGGAAGTTTGCTTGAGAAATATGGGTCATAGTAGTGAAGCTTTTAAGGATAAAGTATTAAACTGAAGAGTCAGATTGTGAAATATCTGCTTGTTATGTAACATCTAAAATTTCTAAAAATAAAGGCAAGATGAGTCTTATAAAATAAATTCAATAGTCATTGATACAGGAAGAATCAGTTCACTGTCCTTGGAATGGTGACCTTTATAGCTCATTGTGATAAACCAGCTGTACTCAGCAGGTCACTAATTAGCCAGTCATCATCTTCCAGTGTATCGCTGAAGCCTAAGTGGTGTTATTCCAGCATAAGCCAAACTATGGATGTGACGGTGATTTATCTAAAAGAAAGCCCTTGCAAGTCAGAAATCAAAGGTATATTTGATGATGGATGCAGGTAGAAAAAGGCATGAATATTTCAAGTGTTAACCTCTCTTCATTCTTTCTAGAATGAACCATGGTATAGATAATGTGTTCCTTTACTGCAGAACCTTTTATATATACCTGGAAGTAAAACATATGTATCAAATAAATATCTGAAACGTTAAAAGAGACTTCTGCATACAGAATCACTTAATAATGAAAAATAAGATCCTCACTCCAACACCTTGCATGAGTTGAGCAGAAAAGTCATTGTCACAGAATCTGCTTGACTAGCTTTGGGATAGATTACCTGCTCTCCTAACCAGAACTGTAGTGAGAAAAGATATGTGCAACCTTTAAACCCATTAAGAGAGACCACCTGCTCTGTGCCATTTCAAGGGGTAGAGGTTCCTTTTTTCCAGCCTGTTGGCGCTGGCAACCAGACTGTGGTTAGCAGAACTGTCCTTTATTACTCATTAGCACAGGTGACGTGTATATACGATGTCTGACTGACAGCATAAGACAAATGCAGTTTAGTTCTTTCAGGAGGACTGAAGAAATTAAACTTAATGGACACCCTGTTTATAGGATTTCCCTAACCCTATGCTGAAGTTATTTACCTTCAAGTGAACTTCGCTGAGCAGCCTGCTATTGACTTTGCACTGGTGTAGATGACTGTGGAGTAGCAGATAATCACATCTTTATCCCTTTGCACAGTAATTACTTTTTTTTTTTTTTTTAATGAGGGCATTCTTGGGAGCTTGAGCGCCAGCCCCCTCTGGCATAGTTTGTATGTCTACTGAGTGCACGTCTTTTCCGTAGGCAGCCTGGGCCAGGCACAACGACCTGGGAAGATGTAAAAGGATTGTGTTGCTACTTACGGTTGTTTTTTCCAGGCAGTGCAGCAGGTGGTGATGTTGGCTTTCAATTAAGGAGGTGCCTTTAGTCATATGCTGTTCATCCTCAGTGGATCCCTGAATAGCCAGAAAAAGGGGGAGAAAAAAACCAAAATCTAAAGCAGGTGTAAAACCATGCAAAGAAGCAGAACTACCAGCATTAGCTTTCACAGGGATAAAGACAACAATTTCAGTGTTGCCGGCTCTCAGGTGTTTCTCATGACTCTTACGAGGTTACCTCATTCTTTTTCCTAATGATTTGGCTTGTAGGCTCAGGTGAAGAACTCGGCTTTGGTTCAAAACCAGTGAGTTTGTAGCCATTTTGTAGCTGTGGAGGACACCTGGGAAATACTGCTAACATATGATGTCAGGGCTCAGGAACCAGAAGGTAAAGAAGAAAAAGAACCTGTCCTCATTTATTAAAAAAAAAAACCAACAAACAACATTAAGACTTTTAATCTCGACGTGACCTTTGAATGCCAACAGATGTACCCTGAACTCTGGTCTCTGTTAGGAGACAAAACCCAAGCTGTCTGGCTTCGGCTGAGCGGGGAGCCTGGCTCTGCCCGACCTTGCGCCTGCTGGCACTCGTGTGCGGTACTGCCAGAGCCTCCCGAGGCACGGCTGCATGCCACATCAAAATATGCAAATCCCGGCTTCACGTCTTGGACTTTGTAATGCTGTTTCTAGAGATGGGACTCCTGGGTCTGTCTCTCCTCCTCATGGCCATCACCAGTGTTCTCCACACTTTGTGCCTGCCGTGTATTAAAAGGGGCTGCTCTTTCTCTGCCTCGGTGTATATGGTTATAGAATCCCAGACTGGCCAGGATTGGAAGGGACCTCTGGAGATCATCTAGTCCAACCCCCTTCCAGAGCAGGGCCACCTACAGCAGGTTGTTGGTGGGGAGTCTGTAGCGGGTCCTGAGGACTGGGTTCAGTGCAGACTGGAGATGTGTAACCGCCCTTGGCCAAGCCCTCTTGGAAAGGCAGGGAGAAGGGAGGAACAGGCAGATGCTATGTATGTAAGAATTAATATATATAAATCAACCTATTCAAGCATATGGCAAATGAGGAAGCATCATCCAGCAGTGGCAAAGGGTTTATGTTCCCCTGAAATACGGCAGCAGTTCCCTAGGAGAAGGAAGGTCCCATCTTCATTAGTTTCTAATGGATTGTGGCTCTCACTCAGTAGAATGGCTTACTGTGATTTATGTTTTAGTAACCCAGTGCCCAGGAACCCTCTGTGCATCATTTAGCACAAAACCAGAACAAGACAAACCTGTTCCAAAGACCTCACAATCCAGATACTTGACTACAGCAACATCTGGACAACGAGGGAGCAACTTTCCCCTGTGTGCCCAAACTGCTGAAATGCGGCTAAGAAATAAGGAAGCTCATTCAGAGAGTAGGGTGTGCTTTGAGGCAGGCAGGCAGCCTGTGCCATCTGGGAAGGGAGTGGGTACAGCTGAGAGTATTTAGGCTGAAAAACTGTTAAAAGGAGTGGTCCCTCCCAGGAAGGCATAGGAAGAGTTGAGAGGACGAACTGCTTGTGGCAGTTTGTGGGCTCTGAGTTGGAAGGACTGACTGAGGCACTTCTGCTGCTCTGTTCTCCACTCCTACATCAGGTTTGTGTGCACGTGGTGATTTGGGGAAGAGACTGCTCAGACTGTGGTGTTATTAGTGGTTAGGATAAGCTACAGATCTCAGACCAATCTCTGTGCTTTTGTTAAGCTGAGGGGCTTGATCCGCTTGAAGCAGCTGAAGTAGAAATGGATCAGAGGTTAGGAGCTCGAATCCAGTATGTGCGTAATGTTTAGCTCATGCAGAAAGCTTGGCATTGGGCATCCATCAAAACTGTAATAGGCCAATTTAGTCAACTCGTGGGGGGGGGGAGAGATCTAGGACTCTGGGTTTTTGTTTTCTGTGCTGTATCAGTGAATCAGATGCTTGTATTCCTCAAAATATAGCATGTCTTTTATCCTATGATCTGATGATCAGATACACCTCCGGAATGGAAGGAGAGAGTTTCTGTGCTATTTGAGACCCAGCATTATTTTTCTCATTTTCTCTGTTCTGTAGTGGATGTCGAGGATGTTCTCTTACTACTACTACTTAAGCTCCTGATTTTGAAATTCACTGTGATTTCATGACACATTAATCTGCGTGTGTCTTTGACTAGCATTTTCAGACAATTGCATGCATTAAAATAGCAATTAAGTGTTGTAAAATGTTTCCCTGTGCTCCATAAGTAAGGGGTGCCTGGTGTCTTCTGTAATGCTTGAATCTGAAAGCTGAACATTGATGTGCGTGGCTTGAATCTCTACTTAGACACGAAACAGCAGTATCTAACTGTTCAAGAGAGAAGATGGGTGGGATGGGAGAGATGGTAGAATATCTTGGCAGAAGTGCCAAGACATTGTCTGTTGCTCTCAAGGGGGTCAAATTCAACTATGCTTAAAGGATCGCTTTTAAATACACCCATGTGTCCCAGTGATTCACTGCACATGCACGTTCTGGATGCCTTTTCTGGGATGGTTCTGTGATCCTTAAGTGAAGGAATAACTCTGCCTCTGACAGGTGCCAAAACACTGCTGAACTGGTACATGAAGGAAGCTGACTTACTGTACACAGAATTAATAGATTCCTATGGGAATGCATCTTAGGCAGGTTATGGATTTTTTTTTTTTGTTTTGTTGCTGTTGTTTTGGAAGATGGAGCATTCCCAGAAGTATTTTTAGAAGTGGCCTAAAAAAAAATCCGTTCCATTTTTCTTATTAACAATCCTCCTGGTGAGCTAACACATCAAGCAGGTCCTGTTTGTACCCTGCTGAGATTACTGACTCTGCCGAAGTCTGTGTTGGAATGTTTCCCATGGAGGTCCTTGCAAGCCCTAAAGCAACTATGACGCTGCACTAAAACACTAGAAGAGGAGAGAGAAAGAGCACATATTGCAAACAGTATCTTTTTATGAGGATTTGCTTGAGAGGAGGTCTAAATGGAATCTGAAAGCAAAGATAGAGCTTCCAGACCTCTGGCAGAAGATCTAAGGCAATTTTGGCAGCACAACTTAGTCTCTCCCCCTGCCTTCCACATCCAGGCTGGGCTTGCTGCTGGTGGAAATGGGTCCAGGGGTGGCAGTGACCAGGAATAAAGAGTGGCATCCATGACTATGACTCGTACCTTATCTTCCTTTCACTTTTTCTTCAGTCAGCTCAGTGTTTTCAGTAATAAAGAGTATGCGATCACTGAGAACATCCTAGCATGCAAATTAAGAATGAGAACTGCAGAAACTACTGCCTGATGACGGTGAGAGTGCCAACATCACACAAATGCTTGGCATTTTGATAGTACTGTTGAGGAATGTATACCTCTAGAGATTGCATCAGTGGTACCTACATTACTGCAGGCAAACAAAATCTGTGTCTTCATTAGAAAAGTCTGGCTGTAATGAAAAAGCTGGTGGGGGGGAGGAGAGGAGATGGTTTCTTTTTGAGCTGGGATGCCAGTTTTGCAAGGATATGGTGCCAGCTACCATTCAGTTTGTTCTTGGAAGACATTCACCGAACTGCTGGTTGCTTGGAGGGAGACTGAAACACACTGTAGTGTCAGCTCTGAAATCCAAAATGCTTCCACTTTACCTCTTCTACTTAGTGCTTCAGTGCACCAAATTGGACACTGGTGAACTGAGATGAACTGATTCAGTGTTTAGACTGTCCCTTCCCATGAGAATGGCTATAACGCTTATCTATGGCTAATGCTTGTGAAAAGGCACAAGACCTCACAGCTTACTGTTCCTAGGATATCCACCTCCTAGCATTTTAGCTAGAAGGGAATTTCAGCTAGCTGTACAAGGAGATTAACGCTAAGAGGATATGTAGGCTGCTGCCATGGGAAGAAGCTCACCATCCCTTGAGCACTTCTGACATAAAGCCCACTAAAAATCTCTGTAAATGAGAAGAAAACAGTCTGAGTACTTCATGTCTAGATGGCAAATGCAAAATGCCACAAATCCACGTTTCTGAAGCAAGAGTCTGTATCCTTGCTAGGAGCAGAACTCCTTCCTGCTGCTGTCTTGGATAAATCCTTTTCTTTGCCTTTTCTTTACCTTGATGCAAGGCTACAGGCTGAAGACATGCTGTTCCCTTGAAAGATGGTGTCAGAGTATTCATTCTGGTGCTAACGAAAGGACATTCTGGCACATGTTCCGGAATCTTGAACAGTCCCTATTTCCCAATTTATTAGTTTGACTGCAGAGCCACAGCCAGGATACGTTCCGGGGCCGTTGTTTTTCTTGGGTAAACCCTCAAGGTGCCAGAGTGCAGGGCAATCTGCTGGGCGCTTGTAAAACAATTATACGTTGATCGGAGTACTGTGTGATTGCTAATGATGAAAGTGATGATATCTAGCGATGGCCGTGTAGTAATTGCGATTGGAATTACTGCTGGGTAACAAACCAGCCCGATGGCAATCTGGCCACGTGAAGTCCATTAAAGTTAGCATGAGTCCTGGGCAAGGTATCAAAATGGGATGTGTACCTGACCGATGAAGCAGTTTGATACTAATTTGACCGACAGATATGCACAGTATGTAGATAATATTTTGGCCCCTAATATAGCAACTACAGAAGTCACATTCCTTCCTATTTTTACAGCTTAAAAAATTTGGCTGGCTAGACTATGCTGTCATTCACATCTAGTACTTTGAAGAATAGTTTGTTCTCCTGCCATAAAATGGAAGGACATGAAACCTTGCCTTGTGGAGTTCAAACGGCCACGTATACCTTTACAACAAAGGATGCTCTGCAGTTCTGTAATTAATTAATGCCAGTACCTGCGGGTGGAGAGACATGTTTTGGTTCTTGACTGAGGCGTGAGGCTAGTCCTCGGGTAGGCAAAGGCCATTTCCCGGTGGGCGCGCAGATGCCAGGCACGGCTTTGGCAAGTTCCTTCTTAGTAAATTATGCTCCCGTATGTCATGGGTGGATGGCAATTCTTACTCCCCTGTCCTCTGTGCCTTTGATTATTTCAACAGGAGGTTCCTTAGGGTGGGGATATTTTCTTGCAAGGTATTAATACAAATGTATACAATATTCAGTGCTTTTCAAAGTAGGATTTGTGGATCTTATTGGGCTTTGGGGGAGTCATGCTAGCATTTAGAGCTGTAAGCCCCCCAGAAAGCAAGTTGCACTCAGAAACACTTGGGGAGACCTGCTCTGGGTGCTGCTATATATCTAAATTTAATTATTAATGGGTAAAAAAAATCCTCTAGAACCTCTTTAGAAATGTTTTTGTTTTCCTTCCTGTGTCTACAGTAGATTTGTAGCCAACAAAATGACCCTTCTTCTACTCCTTTTTGGGTAAGTGCCAGGAAATGAACCAATTCAGCCAAATATTTCTCTCAACCTCTTGCATTTTGGACTTAAGCACTGGTGCGTCAGCTGCTCTTCCGCAAGTGGTCTTGGCAGAGAGTTGTGGTTGACAGGAGAAGTGAGGAGATTCTTGTTGGGATGACAGGCTGGAAGATCAAGTGCAAACTGAGTGTCCCTGCTGAGCTCTTCTGGCATTTTAAAAACTAGAAATGTGAAGCTCCAAAGGAGGCTTTAAATTTGTCAAATTTTTGCATGTTCCGGGGTAATGAAATAGCAGAATCTCAGCTGAGCTGGCATCCCAGCCCCGAGCCTTTCCTTTGTGGGGATAAGGCTCTGGACGAGGTGTGACCAGTCTTCCTGGTCTCTCATGTTCTTGATAAAGAAACTTTTCTTGAACTGCTCAACAGCAACATATGGTTCAAGAAACAGATTTTCTGAGTGTCGCTGCCATTCGCAGAGCAGGAGACAACATTAGATGTGTAGTCGGAAGGCTCCAACTTGTTTTGGAGGGGGGAAGAGAAACTGATTTGGGCATCCTACCCTCCAAATCTGTACTTCATGAGAAGTGCTTTTGGAGGCTCAGTTTAAAAACTCTTGCAGTTGTAAAGGGACAGATTTCCCTATCTCGGTCCGCACTGCGTAGCATCCTACGTGCTAAATAAGGTTTCCCTCTGTGTGCTGTACCCACTGAACTGGGGGAGGAGTGGGCTCGGGTCCTAGTGAGCAGCTTTCACCGTGACCTGAAAAGGTTTTTTGGCTTTGATTTTACAAATGCAAGGATGCGTGCCAGGGGAAATAGTAGACGTTTGAAGGATTATGCCCCAAGTAAGGATGCGTGAACAAGTGCTAGGCAGCTCTGGTGGCTCAATTAAGCATGCTTCATCTCGCTCTTTGCTCCCCACGTGCATGAAAGGGTGATTTATTTGAAATGAAATCCATGAAATGTGCTAATACCTGCTCTGGTGTTGATCAGGCTTAATGTAATAACCTCCTCTCCTTTTCGCTGATTCTGCTGAGCAATCTGACGCACTTGAAACTTTTCTTCTCCTGAACAGCTAGTATTAGCCTCCAGAGGCCTTTCTGTTAAAAATAAACCCACCACCGAACTGCCTGAAACAGGAGCTAGGGAATATTTTCCTGTCCTGTTGGGCTTGATTAGATAGAATCATAGAATTTTTAGGTTGGAAAATACCTTTAAGATCATCAAGCCCAACCGTTAACCTGGCACTGCCAAGTCCACCACTAAACACCATATCTGTACGCCTTTTAAATACCTCCGGATAGTCCGTATTAGAGGGAGACTCTTGAAATAAATAACTCTATGTTGAAGGAGAGTGGATATTCATAGTGTAGGCAGACCCTGGGTGGTATAAATCAGTGCAGTTCCAACAGCTCTGTGGCACAGAGAGCTTTAAGGGAATGGGGAACCTGGTCATTGCTGGAGGGCCACGTCCTTTCCCAGCTCAAGGAGGAGCCCAAGAAAGCTTTTTTCCTCCCATCCACTCTTGCAACTGGATTCCAGCTGTCCCTCCACTTGGCACATACAGTACACAAACATAATTATAGCATAATGCCATGCCGTGTGCGCGGCTGCCACGGCGGATAATGAGCAATTAGGTGGCAATGGAGAGAGAAGGGGAGGGAGCCCGGGGAGAGGAGTGGGAATAGAGAGCTTCTCAAACTCTGTGGAAGGAGATGTTGTCTCTACACTTACCGTCAGCTCGAGGGCTTCGTTCAGGAGGCCGTTGCGCTTGCTGTGAAGATAAGCGTTGGAGCTGCCCGTTTTGGCCACTCGAATCCTCGCAAGCCGGGCTTTCTGTGAAGGAGGCAAACAAGCTGAAGTTAGAGCTTGGCACGCCGCGTGGCCGGTCCTGTGCTGGCAATAGCAGGAGGAAGGAAATGTCAGGTTCTCGCTCTGCCTGAAAAAGCCTGGGGGTGAAATACAAGGGGTGTGCAGAGAGGACAAAGCGCTGTTGAGAACAGCTCGTGCAGGTCTGTCTGCGGGGGTCGGGTGAGTATGTGTGTCTGTTCCATCTTAACATGAGAAGGAACTTCTTTACTTTGAGGGTAGTGGAGCACTGGAACAGGCTGCCCAGAGAGGTGGTGGAGTCTCCCACTCTGGAGACATTCAAAACCCGCCTGGACGCTGTCCTGTGTAACGTGCTGTAGGTGACCCTGCTCTGGCAGGAGGGTTGGACTAGATGATCTCCAGAGGTCCCTTCCAACCCTAACAATTCTGTGAATTCTGTGAATTCTGTGAAGCACATCTGCCTCAGTGCTCACAGCTTTCCGGAGGTAAGGAATGGGGTGCTGCAGATTTGTTTATCCTTCCAAAAGTTAATAGCCCTTTTTTGGGGGTGAGATGCAAAGCAACTAGAGACGCTTGTCTTGGACATACTCCTGTCATAGACTGACTGAAAGATGGTATGTGATCTAGCGGTGTGCACGTGCTCTGCGCACATGTTGCTTCCATGGCTCACCTTCTCTCTGGTGGTTTAATCCTCTCTCTTGCAGCTCTGTGCTGACATCTGTGTGGTCACTTGCTCTGCTTGTGCTGCAGCTAGCGCAGTGCCACCCCGGCCGCAGTGACGGCGGGCTGTCCTCTGCAGTGGCAGTTTATTAACTTTGGGATCTGATCATTCAAGACTTTGTCCAAAAATACGCATCTCTTGACAAACTGACAGAAGTCACTCTACAACAACACAGACATTCAACTCTTCTTGCTTTTATTTATCCCTGACCTTCTTGACTCCAGGGGGACAAGTTAGATGATAAAAAGCAGTTTGGATTAAAGCAAACAAGAAAAACTAATTGGGCCCTCTTCCTTTTTGATCACTCAGTCTTTAGCATTTCAGTTTTTCTTTTCAATTGTTGCCTGCTTCTCTGTCAAGTGCTGATTTGCCTTTTTCTTTTCTACTGTTAATTTATGACTCAAACACCATTAAAAGTAAATACATGAAATAGCTGTGGCTATTAAAAAATAATTACATTGTGCTGTAGTTTAAAATGCTGCATAATCTTTTAAATAACATGGAACTCGTGATTTTCCTTTCTAATTAGAGGTGCTAATGGGTATACACTGTAGGAAGAGTAAAGCCAAGAGGCAAATACCGGCAGTGGGTCCAGAGAGTGTAATAATTCCAGGAGCTCTATTACTGTACATGCGTGAGTGACTCTGGCCCTGAACATTTGAAAGATTTGTTTAACCTTAAAAGGTTCTGCTTAAGCAGACAATTTCTCAGGCAAAGATACGTACAGGATACTGGTTTGCAGCTTTAATTGGGTGACACAGACTATGACCAGTCTGAAAAATAGGTCTTCTTTTGACACCCCAAAATGGGGCCATCCCAAATTGACTTTCTTTTCTATACTTCACCTAGATTTCATTGTCCCATTTAACGCTAAGACTCCGGGTCAGTGTATGAGAGTGAAATCTCTGATGAAACTTAGTCGGTACTGGGGCCGAGGTGTCGCACAGGACGATCTGCCCACTCTGTGGAAGGGGCACGAGTGGTATTCGCAGGATGTCGACTGAGGGTACAACAAGAAAATTAAATCAGATCTTCAGTTTTTCTGAAGACTTTCCTAAACTGCGGTGTTGCTCTAGGCCCTGAATGAGAGTGGCCTGAGACTGTAATCCGGAGCAAAAACCGCAGATGACTACTATTGCATGAGCGTTAGAGGGAGAGAGCGGGGGATAAGGGACTGAAGGATATTCCATTTCCCAGTTATGTGGCATTGTCTCTCTCTTCCTGTTAATTACACTTCCATTAAATTATTTCTTCTATTTGCAAGTATATGCCTTTGTGTCTCTGTTCCTTACTTCTCACAGTGACCTTATCTCTTCTGTATCAGGACTGGATATTGGATCCAGTGATGGTCTTTACAGTGAGGCTCTGATGGCAACCACAGATGACTTCCCTTTCTGTGCTTGACAAAATATCGCTCCTTTGCTGTAGGAATTACCGGAGTCCCCCAACATACCCAGCTCACCTGGAGCAGGAAGGGTTTCATCCTCATCTTCAGTTCAGTCAATTGTTAAAGTGGATTCAGTCTTAGGCTCTTGTAATGAACATTATTCCCTCTGCCTCCAGGCTAGCAGGGGATCAAATATTAATAGCTGTACTCCACGTGGACTGAAGATGGTTCATTTCTGAGGTCTGTTCTCTTTTCTTCTTTGAAACAGGGCCACTAGCTATCTAAATAATTAAGCCCCATAGCTTTTGTAGTTTAGAACAGACATTGTTATTTTAAAAAATGTCAGTGGGGCAGGACAGAAGTTAATCGTATTCTCCTTGCACAAAAGATTGTCTAGGATAGTCACATTGCCTAACTTTGTGCCCCCGTCATGATTAAATTTGGTAGATATCTTGATTAACTCAGCTAGAGAAGTTAATTAAAATTGGTGCCTAAAATTGGTTTGGCCCTCCAGACAGTTTCCCACATTGGACTAGAAACAACTCTAAAATCAGAGTTTGTGTTTTTATGGGAAAGTCTGTGTGTAAACGTGCATATTTGGACAGCGTATCTATCAAGTGACACAAGCTCAACATGACATTTAGGTACCTGCCCCATGTTTATGTGGGACGCGGTACTTTGATCGTGTCTGGCGGTGACAAAGGGTTTAAGTGCAGCACAGCGCTCCGCTCCGATGTGCCGTGGAGGTTCCACACTGGCTTATGTGTCTGAGCAAAGTGGATTGAGGACTTGCAGAGCACCCGGCAGCAGTGTAAGAGGGGGGTTAGGGTGAGGAAGCGGGTAAAACCAGCTGTTTTGGGGGAGTTTGTGGTACCTGTTGGAACGCCTCAGCCCGGACTTGGCCGGCAGAGGTGCGCTTTGGCAGATCAGGTGAGGAGTGAATGACAGAGGCGAAAGTCTCGACCTGAGGGCACCCCACGCAAGCTTTGAAGCAGCAGTATTTTGCAGGGAACTGTACCATGTACTGTCACATATTTTGCTGTCAGAATGATGCTGATGGGGTCTTCCAAATTCTGCCAGTTTTTCACATGTGTGGATATGGTTTTGTCGTCCCTGTCCTGCAGAGCTCAGTGCTTCTGGTCTGCAGGACAGAAGATGGACAAGTGGAGGACCGTGTCTTTTGAGGGGTGGGGGGATGGCTGTCTTCTGCATCTTATCCCGCAAATGTGACAGACTAAAGGTTGTTAGGGCCAGGCCTGAGATCACTGTTACTGAATATAACCCCTGTGTGGAGAGTCTAAAAAAGGAAAAGAAAACGGCACACTGTGTCTGCATGTAGAGTGGTAAGAGGAGTTGCTAGGAAACCACAGGATCTCAAAATGCATATGACCTAATCTGGAAGATAATTTATATGATGAAAATAATAATACTAATGACAGCCACTTACAGGTTAGAATGATTAATTTGGTTATCTTGGAGCCCACGTGTTGCCGCGAGCAGGCTGGAAGGCAGGGCTCAGTACTTCTGGCTCCTTACTGCTTTTTAAGAAACTGGAGATTCGGGATAAGCAGGAAGGACAGTGAAGCCCTGTACACGTGGAGTGCTGAGATACGGTGGTGAGGATGATGGAAGGGGCTCTCAGCGTCCTGGGTATCTACATTTCCTAAAGAGACTGACAAAAAGAAAGAATAGCCCATCTTCATCTTTTAGCTGCTTTGGAGAAGTGCAAGGAGCAGCAGTTGCTGGCGAGGAGAAATGCTTACCAGATGGCAGGCCCAGGAAACAGCTAATTATTATTTATTGATGATTTTCATCTAGTTCTTATGGAGATAATGTTCATTCTTGATTTATGTGGTATAATAAACTATTAAGTTACAATCTATGATGTAATTTCGTATTTGCCAGACATCTTCAGCTTTCCAGCTCTTCTGTTCTTGAGCAAGGAGATGACTGGAGTACACGTATGTCAGGTACTACATGTAGGGGTCCTGGGTCTGCTCCTGCTCCCTCTTTGGACTGGAGCTGTTATTAGCATTATCCCTCGCAGCATGGTTGAGGCTGGAAGGGACCTCTGGAGGTCTCCTTGTCCCCAGCTCAAGCAGGGCAGCCTAGCCCAGGACTCTGTCCAGGTGGCTCTTGAACGCCTCCAAGGATGGAAACTCCACAACCTCTCTGGGCAGCCTGTGCCAGCGCTCGGTCACCCTCACGCTGAAAAAGTGTTTCCCTATGTTCAGACGGAGCCTCCTGTGTTTCAGTCTGTGCCCATCACCTCTGGTCCTGTCGCTGGGCACCACTGGAAAGAGCCTGGCTCCGTCCTCTCTGTACCCTCCCTTCGGGTATTTAGATACATTAAGAAGATCCCTCTGAGCCTTCTCTTCTCCAGGCTAAACACTCCCAGCTCTCTCGGCCTTTCCCATATGGGAGCTGCTCCAGGCCATATCCTGTCTAACTTCATCCGCTAAAACAACACTAAGTGCACTCCTGGCAGAAAATGCAGCTACAGGACATAATTAACAGTGCTTCACATTTTCCCCCTAAACAATTAGTAGTTTGAATATGCGTAGATCTATTGCTGACTGCTGCAGTGAGTCCAGTGGTGCAGTAGCTGTACACCACTGGCCTTCTAAGGCTGAAATGAACCTGTTCTCAAAAGTAATCAACAGAATATTTTGATCTGATTTTTTTACTCCCAAGCCGAAATATCACAGCCATTCAGTAAGTGCTCAATTTTCTTGTGTTTTTCTGCATCTGTTGCTAGTTTGGATCTGGACTTAAGTTCTAGATGGAAAGAACATAGTTGACTTTAGGCTGTAGAAAAGATAATGGAGTTTCTGCAGACTTAACAACAGGGCTTAGAGCGTGGAATGACAAAAATGTGTTTTCTTGTAGTTGTGTTCT